GTTCAATCCCAGGTGGGCATGCACAATTTTGTTAAAAAACTTAGTATATAAAAAAAAAAAAAAAAAAAACCTCCTTTTCCCGGGAACCCCAGGATTTGAACCGGGATCCCCTGGCCCAGCAGCCAGCTAGCTAACCACCAGGCCAATTGCCTCTTGATATAAATCATTTCGGAACTTATATTTAAAGGTTAGGATTGCGCAATTTTGAAAAAGGTCAGAGGGCACAGGTTATTTGCATGTATTTAAATGACAAAAGCAGATATTTGAATATGCCAATAGACAGAATACTCAAAATATTCAGACTTTGCATACATTTCAGTAAGGTCAAACGTACTGTTATTTGCATATACGCGTTTCTATATACATGTAATTTACACTTCCAAATCTTCAGTTTATATCGTGTACCTGTCACTAAAAATTCAACTATGTTGGTTGAAACATGAACAAATAACTTGGAGAAAGATTTTGCTAGGATTAAAAACGTCAGGTCCTGAATTTTTTAAATTTTTAACAGAACATCTGACAAATTTTGGTAGTATGCCTCTTATTAAATCTTGCTATGATGGGCAATACAGGTACCTGCTTCTTTGAATAAGAAATTTACAGAAACAGGTTTTGACCAAACGGATTGTTTACTTTTGTCTCTTCTATGCCCATCTTGTCTGTGATGTTCATTTATGATAAAACTCCCACAATTTGAAAAAATAAAGCATAAAAATCTGACATTGCATAAAGCAAATTGAAAGCAGTAAAATTGTACAATATTAACCCTAACAGTCCCAAATCCTCCAATTTTAATACAATTTTACATACACCCGAGAGGGTTAGGGTCAATTCATTATTCCAGTTTCCTTCAGAAATTAAGAGTTCAATAATTGTTTGGAGTTTACATCTGGAAGGAGTGCTTTACGATATGCTTGATATCTTTTTATGAGGCAAAAATACACCCTTGATCGAAAACCTACAAATTGTATTATTCTGTGTAAAAAAATTTTCAACTAAAAACATCTATTCCTTATTCCTAACAAAAAGTCTAAGGGGCCATTCGAAATTTCCAATGTGTTTTAATTTTGATTTTGTCTTTTGAAACTGTGGTTGGGTCAGGGTAAATAATAGAATTTCATTTTTCCAGAAGAAAAGAAAGACAAATAGTTCTTTTGGCTTTCACTACACACCGCGCCAGTGCGATCTTCCATTAACGGATTGAATGACCTATACATCATACACCGTGTGAACTATGGGTGACTGTGGTTTTTAATAGACCTTATAGCCAGTCATCAGCAGGGTACCAGTTGTGTTCATTCATGTTGGGTTTCAGACTGCGTATTTTCAGCAGCATTACTGGGCCGTTCAATAAAGGCAAACCATTCCAGACGCACCAGCGCATTATACACACATAAAAAAAAAGTCACATCAACGTTTTGCCTCTTTTATCTGGGGTGTGCTGTAAATGAGAGTGTTCCAACCAATGTTAAATGTAAACAGTCAATGGGAGAACAGCCAAGGATGTGAAAAAGGGCTTTCATGTCTGGACGAAGATTATATCGCAGGCACTGTAACAAGAATTTTTATGTGCAGGACTGCAGTCCAACGCAGTATAATACTCAACGAAACAAATCTGTTGTTTAAAGTTGAAATCAGGGTTGGGTGGTGGGTGGGTCAAGACAATTTTGATCAAAAATCGAAATTAAAAAGCATCAAAAACTTCAAATGGCCCCTGAAACTCTTTCGAACAAAATAAAAAACCCTGAAACTACGTTTACCATCTCAAACTAATCTGTACACTTTTTCTACACATCTAATCTTTGAGCTTTGTAGCACCCTGTCTGTGCTGCCTAGGTTTGTGAAGGGACGGCCCGCAACATATCAGAGTAGAGAGGAACCTCTTCCACCTTGCTGACGTTCTTTTACCTACGGAGAAAAGGAAAACAGCAAGAAATGTTGAGGACTTTATGGTACATGAGCTTTGAAGCTGGCAAGTTAAGAAAAGGTGCAAAGATATCCCATGTGTGAGTATGTTTGATTCCGAAATGAGCAGGAGGGTACTTAATGTAAAAGACAGTGTGCTCTGTCTGTCATCAGGAGAATGCGGAGATTCCACCAGTGATGAAGAAGATTTGTCTGGAGGCGGTGAGATGTGCAGAGGATGCTAACTCTCGATCTAACCAAAAGCACTCAAGCAGACCAAGGGATGCTGGATGATCAACAAGGTACCGGTACATGTATACGTCGGTCCGTCTGAGGGAGTGAATCATGGAAGAAGGTTGTCAAGGATACTGGAGACCCATAGACTGGAAACATGTCCTAAGGTAGAGGAGATCCATCAGACAGGGATGTGAGGATGGGGCACCAGCTGTCGCTGATGTTGAAACCGATGTCTTGGGGGGTCTGCTGTGCTGGAGGATTCTGATGGCTTCCCTGATGTGGCGAGGGTCTGGTGGCCTTGGGTGAGGGAATGCTTGATGATGACAGACTTGTCAACTTCTCCTTTCCTGCCATGGGTACTGTGTTCATTGAGTCTGGTAGGGAGGTCCCTGCTGGTCTCACCGATTGGCAGGGGATCTTGTATACTCCTGACTGGTGCTGTGGATTAGACCGGTCTTTGTGGGAGGTCAACAGGTTCCATGTCTTCATGGTACACTTGAAGGCCTTGCTTGCGGAGGATGCGCTGAACATGATGGGAAGTACTGCCTAAGTAGGGAGCGCGACAGAACTATTGGCCCTAACTAGTTGGCTTTGGGTATAGGTGACCCGTTGGCCGGGGACTGGTTCTAGGGTCTTGAGTCTTAACTTGGCTGGGCTTGTATCCATTCCGCTGTATGTGGTGCCGTTGTGATGACATGGAGTTCTTGAGTGAGACGCTCTTTGCTGCAGACGTTGTATGCCCTGTGAGCAAGGGTCCGACTGACAGAAGACTTGATCTTGGGGTGATTGATGGAAGCGCTGTGGAGGTATTGATCCGTGTGGGTGGGTTGCTGGTAGACTCAGTAAGAGTGCCGTCCTGCTTTCTGGATACCTCGATGTCAAGAAATGATATCCACCATTGGAATATCTGCAGTCTGATGACGACAGACAGAGCATACTGTCCAAAACGTTGAGTACCCTCCGCTTACTTTCAGAACCACACATACTTACACAAGAGATGTTTTGCAAGGTGCTATCACAAACCCTCAATTTAACATTATATTTCATTAAATTAAACATTCAACTTAACATTATAATACATTAAATTATTGGGAAAACTGAACGAGATGTGGGTATATTTTAACCAGGATTTAAAAAGTATGTTCATTTGGCATAGTGAGCTTCAGTGACAACAGACCCTTACTAAAGGAAGCCATTTATGATTGTTTCCAGAATCTGCATTGTACATGTACCTAATAAATTTGTTATTCGGGTGGTGCCAGACTATTTGGAGCTCCATGCCTCACTTTCATTAATTTTGATTTAATTTGCTTTCAAACATACAGATCTGATTCTTTTTCTGCATAAATGAAGATGTCTTTCGGTGCTTTCATTTTTAATCTCAAGTGCAAAACTAAAAACAACCCTCACTTTTCAATTCAATATGGCCGACTTAGGGGGGGGCAGAATGTGCCCCCTCAATACCAGAATATTTGTTCACACACCAAGTCTTCAAAAAATTTTCAAGTAGTTTTGAACATCTGACATATTCCCTTCTCATGCTGTGCTTATTTTTTCAAAACAGCTCATCCAAAAATATCTACTTTCCCCTTTTCCAACTGATGTGCAAAACCATGCAAGCAAGCCAAAGAACCGCGGCATGCCTCTCCCCATCAGTACTGACAGTGTTGCATTTATATTCAAGTCAAGTTTTAAGAATGATTGAGCACAGGAAAGCTGAGTTCAAAAATGGGATAAGGGAGATAAATAGCTCCCCCAGATGTGAAATGGTCTGAAAAAAAAGAAATCCAGCTCTTTTTGGACTATATCCGTGTTTTTTCAAATTGCCAAATTTTTCAAGAGATGTTCTTACAAGACCTTTGCCTGTGAACCGAGTGTTACACATTTTGGTGTACACATCAGAGGAAGTAGCAAAATCTCAGTCCCAATATCAAATATAATGTTGTCCATTTTTCAGAAATTTCCCCAGGGTTTTAGAGAGAACCCACCATGACTTACCCAACATACGAGTACCTTCATAAACGGCAGGCCTGAAAGGAAGACAAGAATAATAAATTCTGTGAAAGTTGCAGTAATTTGATGCAATTCAATTGATACAGGTAGATGTTTGTAAATGACTCCACAAGCACATGTTGACAATGTTCCAAATTTAACAGAGGTATTTTTCAGTAATTTTCAAGTCAAACTTTGGAAGAATAAATTCTTGCAGTGTGTGACCACTCAGCGTGAAATTGCTTAGACTGGAGCTCAAGTTCACCTACTGGTTCATTTTGCCGAGACTACAGATACATGTAGAATTGATCACTCAAGCCTGAATGATTAGAGGCTCAAGTCCATCTGCTCAAGTCCATCATCAAATTGATAAAACCAGACAAAGGATTCGTCACTCAGTCTTAGGTGGTCAGAGGCTCAAGTCCACCAGCTGGTTCATAATAACAAGACCAGAGCAAGGATCGGTCATTCAATCCTGGGTGGTTTGAGGCTGGAATCCACCTGCTGGTTCATATCGATAAAACCAGAACAAGGATTGGTCATTCAATCCTGGGTGATCAGAGGCAAAAGTCAACCTGTTGGTTCATATTGATAAAACCAGACCAAGGATTGGTCATTTAATCATGGGTGGTTCGAGGGTCGAATCCACCTGCTGGTTCATATTGATGAGACCAGAGCAAGGATTGGTCATTCAATCCTGGGTGATCAGAGGCTCAAATCCACCTGCTGGTTTATATTGATAAAAACCATAGCAGGGATTGGTCACTCAATCCTGGGTGATCAGAGGCTCAAGTCGACCTGCTGGTTCATATTGATAAAACCAGAGCATGGATTGGCCACTCAATCCTGGGTGATTAGAGGCGCAAAGCCACCTGCTGGTTTATATTGATAAAACCAGAGCAAGGATTGGTCATTAAATCATGGGTGGTTCGAGGGTCGAATCCACCTGCCAATTCATATTGATGAGACCAGAGCAAGGATTGGTCATTCAATCCTGGGTGATCAGAGGCTCAAATCCACCTGCTGGTTCATATTGATAAAACCAGAGCATGGATTGGCCACTCAATCCTGGGTGGTTAGAGGCTCAAATCCACCTGCTGTTTCATAATAGGGAGACCAGAGCAAGGATCGGTCATTCAATCCTGGGCAGTTCGAGGCTNGGATCGATCAACTCAATAGTCTGAAAAAAAAGAAATCTAGCTCTTTTAGGACTAAATCCATTTTTTCAAATTGCCAAATTTTTCAAGAGAAGTTCTACAAGACCTTTGCCTGTGAACAGAGTGTTATACATTTTGGTGAACACATCAGAGGAAGTAGCAAAATCTCAGTCCCAACATCAAATCTAATGTTGTCCAATGTTTCACAAATTTCCCCAGGGTTTTAAAGAGAACCCACCATGACTTACCCCACATATGAGTACCTTCATAAACGGCAGACCTGAAAGGAAGACAAGAATAATAAATTCTGTGAAAGTTGCAGTAAGTTGATGCAATTCTATTGATACATGCACATATTTGTAAATGACTCCATAAGTAAATGTTGACATTGTTTATCATGATGAATGGAGTTCCAAATTTACCAGAGGTATTTTTCAGTAATTTTCAAGTCAAACTTTGGAAGAATAAATTCTTGCAGTGTGTGACGACTCCATGTGAAATTGCTTAGACTGGAGCTCAAGTTCACCTACTGGTTCATTTTGCCGAGACTACAGATACATGTAGAATTGATCACTCAAGCCTGAATGATTAGAGGCTCAAGTCCATCTGCTGGTTCAAATTGATAAAGCCAGACAAAAGATTGGTCACTCAGTCTTAGGTGGTCAGAGGCTCAAGTCCACCTGCTGGTTCATAATGACAAGGCCAGAGCAAGGATTGGTCATTCAATCCTGGGTGGTTCGAGGCCCGAATCCACCTGCCGGTTCATATCAATAAAACCAGAGCAAGCATTGGTCATTCAACTCTGGTTGGTTAAAAGATGAAGTCCACCTGCTGGTTCATATCAATAAAACCAGAGCAAGCATTGGTCATTCAATCCTGTGCGGTAAGAGACTCAAATCCACCTGCTGGTTCATATTGATAAAACCAGAATAAGGATTGGTCATTCAATCCTGGGTGATTAGAGGCTCAAATCCACCTGCTGGTTCATATTGATGGGACTAGAGCAAGGATTGGTCACTCAATCCTGGGTGGTTAAAGGGTCAAGTCCACCTGCTGGTCTATATTGATGAGACCAGAGCAAGGATTGGTCATTCGATCCTGGGTGGTAAGAGACTCAAATCCACCTGCTGGTTCATATTGACAAAACCAGAGCAAAGATTGGTCACTCAATTTTGGGCGGTTAGAGGCTCAAGTCTACCTGCTGGTTCATGTAGCTAAGACCAGCACATGGATTGATCGCTCAATCCTAGACGGTTTGAGGCTTAAGTCCACCTGCTGGTTCATGTTGATTAGACCACAGGAAGGATTGGTCACTCAATCCTGGGTGGTTAGAGGCTCAAGTCCACCGGCTGGTTTATGTAGCCGAGACCAGCACAAGGATTGATCACTCAATCCTAGAGGGTTTGAGTCTCACGTCCACCTACTGGTTCATGCTGATTAGACCAGAGAAAGGATTGGTCACTCAATCCTGGGCGGTTAGAGGCTCAAGTCCATCTGCTGGTTCATGATAAAACCAGAGCAAGGATTGGTCACTCAATCCTGGGTGATCAGAGGCTCAAGTCCACCTGCCAGTTCATATTGATAAAACCAGAACAAGGATTGGTCATTCAATCCTGGGTGGTAAGAGACACAAATCCACCTGCTGGTTCATATTGATGAGACCAGAGCAAAGATTGGTCATTCAATCCTGGGTGGTTAGAGGCTCGAATCCACCTGCTGGTTCATATTGATGGGACTAGAGCAAAGAGTGGTCACTCAATCCTGGGTGGTTAAAGGGTCAAGTCCACCTGCTGGTCTATATGGATGAGACCAGGGCAAAGATTGGTCATTCAATCCTGGGTGGTTAGAGGCTCGAATCCACCTGCTGGTTTATATTGATAAAACCAGAGCAAGGATTGGTCACTCAATCCTGGGTAATCAGAGGCTCAAGTCCACCTGTTGGTTCATATTGCTAAAACCAGAGCAAGGATTGGTCACTCAATCCTGGGTGATCAGAGGTTAAGGTCCACCTGCTGGTTCATATTGATAAAACCAGAGCAAGGATTGGTCATTCAATCCTGGGTGATCAGAGGCTCAAATCCACCTGCTGGTTCATATTGATAAAACCAGAGCAAGGATTGGTCATTCAATCCTGGGTGGATAGCGGCTCAAGTCCACCTGCTGGTTTATATTGATAAAACCAGAGCAAGGATTGGTCATTCAATCCTGGGTGGTTAGAGGCTCAAATGTACCTGCTGCTTCATATTGATAAAACCAGAGCAATGATTGGTCACTCAATCCTGGGTGATCACAGGCTCAAGTCCACCTGCTGGTTCATCTTGATAAAACCAGAGCAAGGATTGGTCACTCAATCCTGGGCGGTTAGAGGCTCAAGTCTACCTGCTGGTTCATGTAGCTGAGACCAGCACAAGGATTGATCTCTCAATCCTAGAGGGTTTGAGGCTCAAGTCCACCTACTGGTTCATGCTGATTAGACCAGAGAAAGGATTGGTCACTTAATCCTGGGCGGTTAGAGGCTCAAGTCCACCTGCTGGTTCATGTTGCTGAGACCCGAGCAAGGATTACTCCAGCCGTGGTAGTTAGGGGCTGAAGAGCTTTACTTGTCAATCAAGCCTGCATACTTTGAAGCTTAAGTCCATCAGCTGGTTGATGCTGAAGAGATCAGACCATTGATTGGTCACTCAATCTTAGAAGGACTGAGTCTCACGTCCACCTGCTGGTTCATACTGCTGAAAGTAGACCCAGGGTTGGTCACTCAAGCCTGGATGGTTTGATGTTGAAGTCCAGCCGTTTCTGAGACTAGAGCTAAGGTTTGTTATTGAAACTTGGATGGTCTGAGGTTCAAATTCACCCAAGTCTCGTAAAAGGCTCAAGAACTAGGACTGGTCACTCAAGCTAGAGGATTGAGGTTCATTCCAACCTGCTGGTTCATGATGCCGAGACCAGAGATAAGGTTGGTCACTCAAGCCTAGATGGTTTGAGGCTTAAATTCACTCAAGTCTCACAAGAGGCTCAAAAGCTAGAACTTGTCACTCAGATCATGCCAGGATGGTGCACATGGCTTTATTGAACAAAACAAGCTTTTTCATATTGCTTTGACTGAAGCAAGAATTGATCACTCAGGGCTGGATGGTTTGAGGCTCGAGTCCACCAGCTGGTTGATGTTGCTGAGACAAGAGCTAGGGTTGTCATTCAAGCGGAATTGTTTGAGGCTCAAATTTACTCAAGTCTCTTAAGCGGCTCAAGAACTTGGACTGGTCACTCAAGTCTGGATGGTTTGAGTCAGAAGTCCAGCCATTGCTGAGACTAAAGCTATGATGTTCATACTCTCACATGCATCAGCTGGCTCAAGTTGATGAGACTAAAGCTAGAATTGGTTGCGTATGCCTGGAAGATTAAATGCTCAAGTCCACCTGCTGGTTCACATTGGATCCATGAACAAGATCTTCATCATTTTTACCTCAATCTATGCTTGTAATGAAAGCATAACAGATGGGGTTCTTTACTGCAATACTTACAGAAATATAATGGGGATTCACGATGACTTGAAATAATCAAGTGGAACCACAAAAGGCAACAACAGTGAACCCCGGCTGGGAAAGATGAATGTGGAATACAGCATTTTGCTGTAAAACAACTCGATCAAATGTGCACGTAATATTTAAAACAACTTCACCTGTCAAAGATCAAGCTTATCTTCTGCTTTGACTAAAACATGTCAGTCACTCTCTGGTTTTGAATCCGATGAGGTCAAACTGTGCAAAGTATGCGAACCTTTTTATACTCTCAATAAACTTTGACAACCTGTTTAAGATACAAAATGGAAATAAATTAAACTTCCTAATGGTTGAAAGGTGGGTATACTTGGGGAAGGCGTCCAAAATATTTTTATCGGCGCGCCGCGATCCGCTTCAATGCGCCGCACAGTGCTGAACGGCTCCGCACTCCAGCCTCCTGAGACCCGCCAATGACTGGCACCGTGCAGCGCTGGTGGGAAACATGCATAACAATGGTGTCTGTCATAATCAAGCTGTCTAAACATGCAATCAACGCAGCATCCCGCAGCATGCTGATGTTTTAAGTTTTTCTGCAGATCATTCTCATTAAGAAAAACATGGAAAAAGCTTGATCGTAAATTTGGATCGACTAGAAAAAGAAAAGTGTTTGCCATTTAGAGTGAATTTGATGTCTGATTTTCTGAAACGCATTTTTTTCACTCTTAAAACGAGTTATCTTACCTCTGAAGAAAAGTCTGTCTCAATGACTGACAAAAAAAATTATTACAAGTGTGTGGAATGCCAATCCAGAATGCAGTGTGTGTTACATAAAACGGCCGTTAAAAAGCTTGGGATTTTCCCGTGAGCATGCGCTTGCTGGGATTTCTCATTGTCAGCTCCTGCCTGAGCAATGCCTAGGGAAAACGCTACTACATACGGGGTACACGACATACAGCCACCGTGTTGGCAGAGTTGCAACGCTAATGTCAACGTGATTCTGACAATCAAGCACATCATGATTGATCGTACAAGCGAGGATTGGGAAGAGAATAACCTAGACAGCTTTTGGCTTCCCTTCACTGATTTTCCTCACCACAGATGACCCGGATTCTGTCAAAACACCATCCTCGGACACTGGAGGTTAGGTGTGAACGCTTACACGTACATTACATGTAATGTTAGGCTACTTTCATGTCGGTAATTGGCCGCATGCACTCGGCGAGTAGGCCCAGTAAGGCGACCATTAGGAACTATCTTATTTGTTTGCTCAAAGTGGCTGAATGATTTCGCACGTGACTTTTAGCTGGTTTTAGTGGGTTAATTTGTCCATTCCTTGAGACCCCCAATCAATCGAAATGTACATGTAGGATATAGCACTGGATGGATAAGGCAGTTGATTTCTTTGTACATCATCGAGGCATTCCTGAAAGTATGAGAAAGGTAGGGGCCTCACTGACTGAGTACATGTATATTTGAACATTTGACGACATAAAATGATGAATATTTATGCTAGCACAGAAGCAACAATGACACGTATGATTCAGAGCGAACTGCGCATGTCCCATTTTTAGGGTCATTTGCATAAGTGATGAGGGCCACAAGAATTCATGCCAGGCAAGCAGCTGCTTCATTTCATGAAATTTACGTCACATTTTTACTTTTGGAAATAAAAATCCCTGCCCAAAATATTTTCATGGTAGGATAAGGCCTTTTCCTGTTTTGTGAAAATAAAATTGAGATTTATTGTACAGTACAAGAGTGGTCAGAACTAGTCATTTTTATGAAAAGCTCTTTGCGTAAGCGGTTGTTTGCTTATGTTTTGGGGAAATTTTGAAGGCTCGAAACAAAGAATTCAAAGTTTTCTTACATGTACTATACATGCGTGAACCACATGAACCTGTACACCGGCTCCATGTACATGTACGTCAGTGTGCGCTTAACGGGCTGCATTGTGCCGTGTATGCACGGTATGTGACTTGATCGGTTTTGTGCATGTAGATCGAGCTGCGCAGAAGTATCAAATGTAATCCATGAAAGTCGAACAAAAAATTATTTTGTGTAGTTGCTAAGGACAATGCCGTATAATCACGAGGGTCCCGAGGTAACCCCCCCAAACGGTCGAAGTCGTTAATTTCCAGGCGTCTAATGGGAGTGAAACATATTTTGATGAAATGGTTCAAAATGTATAATTACGAGTTAGAAAAGTTGTGGGCATGGAACTGCAATATTGAAGGTAAATCCACGTCATTAAAACCAAGATCAAAAATAATTTTCTTGATGAAACCTTGCCCATTGGTGATAAACATTAAGATGCACGCCTCAAAGCTACGGTGAAAATAAAACACAAAATGCCCCAGTACCAGAAATAAAGCAACCATGTTAGTTCTGGTTCCGTGTTTTGACACTTTTAATGCTGGAATCTAGTATGCTAAGTGAACACTTGTTAAAGTAAAAATGGACGGGGCTCACTGCCAAAATAAAAGAGGAGCCTGGGAACTTGCTGGAACACGCGATATCTACATGGACCCTGTGTCTTCAGCCTAGGAGATCAGCTTATAGAGCACTCGCAGTTTTGCGTGCACATGACAGGCATTGCTTCAGCGTTGATAAGATGGGGCGCATTGCCAAGCACAGTCACTGAGCCTTCCCTGTTCCCCCAAAAAACCCAATGTCAGGTCAGTGGCTTTGGTTGTTGAATGACAGTAAATGAGGTAATCTTTTCGGGCGGTCGAGTCGCGCCAATAACTAATCTTCAAAGCCCACTGCGGTGAGCTGAGCAGCTTACGTGCAGGGCGCTCTATTAACGTAACCAATGCCACCAACACAATAGCTTATCCTTAATGAGCT